CCGCTGGGTCCGCAAACCGGAGGCCGAGGATCCCTGACAGGGGCCGTCCAGGCCCTCTCCTCGTCGGCACCTGCCGAAACATCGGCGCCCCACATGGGTGACAACACAAAGCTGCCTCATCGGGCTGGATCTCCGCACTTCCTTGGACGATCAGGAGACCCGCCTGTGCCATGCTGTGCCCGTTGACGTCCCAAAGGGAATGGATGGGGAGAGCGCCGGACGAAACCTTCCGCGGGTGGAGGCTGAAGTTGTGGCAACGCACGGCTGCAGCAACACCGGGCAGCCAGACCTGTCCCCCTCCATTCCCTCAAAACGCCCCGACCCGGCCTCTAATCACACCTCGTGGAGGCCGTCCCAATCCTCAGCGTCCAACTCGAGGGTGGCATCTTGGGTCCCAGCAGCACCCTGCGAGTCCACGAACCCTTGTGGACCCTCGTTTGCCGCCTTGTGGACCGAAAACACTTGCTGGACCCTCGTTTGCCGCCTTGCGGTCGTAACCGCCAAGCTGTCGATGCCGTGGGTGAACAAGCACTGATGCCACCGCGTCTGCCGCACCTTAGTTCTTAGCTTGGCGCATCTTCCTGTTGCACCGTTGCCTCGGGTCAACCAGTCCCAAGATCTGAGCGCGATTTGGCCTCGAATTGGTGACTCTTCACACTGATGACAGCAGCACAATGCTCCCACCAGTCCCGCCAAAAATGCTGCCTGACTTGCATCGCAGAGAGGCCTGCCCCAGGGTCCCGAGCGCACGGGACACGGGCAGCACAGTCGAATGTACATGCAGAGGGTTGCCTAGGTCCCACTCACAATAGGTGGCGAGAAAGGAATCAGGAACGTAATCAGAGTGAGGGGGCCGACGGTCATTCACTGTCCTTGGGCGCGTGGCTGAAGGCGTTCCTCCCTGACTGGTGACCACTGCGCTTGTTCAATTAAAATGCTCCTCCTGGTGATCGCGCCTGATCTTTCTTCTCAAAAAACACTGGGGTCACCGAGCTCGGCTCCCGCCTGACACTTCCTCAAAAGTTATTCCGACATCGCGCTCCCGCGCGGGACTTCCTCATAACTTATGCAGGAATCGCGCTATCGCGTGGGACATCCTCACAATTCACTTAAACGCTGCGCCCTCGACGCTCAGGAATCGCGCTCTCGCTCGGGCTGCTTCTCGCGATTTACTTGGGCATCGGGCTATCGTTGCAAAGCTCCTCGCGGCTCATGCAGTGCTCACGCTTCAACGGCCCACCTGCTCGACCTGGCCGCCTGGGCTCGCCTCCCCGACCCGCCCGTGAGGGTCTACCCGCCCGATCTGCCCATCTGGTTCTGCCGCGTGCTTCCTGCTCCTAGCCCCCTCCTGCTAATCCCGTGCTCCATCCTTCTCCACCCCCCCTCTCTATCAGTCCTCTCCTCCCTGTTCAAGGGGCTGCATCAATTACGCGCGGCAGGTAAGGAAGAGATGCCCCCCTGAAAGGGGGTACGATCGAAACCGACGAATGCGGGTACAGGTTTGTGATACACGTGTTGAATGGCACACGAGCAGCTGAGAGCGAACCGTCTCAAAATGATTGTTGTTGTTGTTGGTGTGGTTGTGGTTGTGGCTGTGGTTGTGGCTGTTGTTGCTGTTGTTGTGGATCTTGTTTCTGGTCTTGCTATTATTTTCTCATTTCTACATGCTACTTATTGTTGGCACCCCTTCCCACTGACCATGGCACTTTTCAATGAAAGTGCGCCTCCGAGGAGGCGCACCTTGTTTTCCTTACAAAGAATGGGGTCGCCAAGCTGAGCCCATGGTCCCCGAGTGACAACAACAACGGCTCCCGCTAGGCACTTCCTCACAAGTTATTCCAAACTCGCGCTTTCGCGCGGGACTTCCTCACAATGTATGCAGGAATCGCGCTATCGCGTGGGACCTCCTCACAATTAACTTCAACGTCTCGCCCTCGACGCTCAGTAATCGCGCTCTCGATCGGGCCTCTTCTCGCGATTTACTTGGGCATCGCGCTATCGTTCGAGAGTTCTTTGTTGTTCATGCAATCCTCACGCTTGAACAACCCGCTTGCTCGACCTGGCCGCCTGAGTTCGCCTTCCCGACCCGCCCGTTAGGGTCTACCCGCCCGATCTGCCCTCTGGTTCTGCCACGTGCTTTATGCTCCTAATCCTTAGCCCCCCTTCTGCTACGCTCTCTCGTGCTCCATCCTCCTCCCTCCCCCTTGTTCCTTTCTTCCATCCGTCCTCTCTTCCTCTGCCGTCGGGTTTGCCCGAAATGCACGTAGCAGGTAAAAAAGGTACATCCCCAAAGGGGGCACGATCAAAGACGAAGAGGGCCAACATCGAGGGTTTGGGCTATAAGTGTTGAACGGCACGCGAGCAGACAAAAGCGAACAATCTGACAATGCTTGTTGTGGTTGATGCGTTATGACTGACTTTGTGTTGAATTCTCACTTATGAAGAACAAGTATTGTTGATCCCCCCTCCGGTGACCGTTGTATTTTTACAATTGAGGTGCCCCTCCTGGGGATCGCAGCCTGTCATTTAGAAGGGGAGGCCTGAAGTACCAAAGTGGGCCCCTGGCCCCCGGTTTACAACAACAGCGGCTCCCGCCTGGTACTTCCTCACAGTGTATGTCAAATTCGCGCTCTCGCGCGGGCCTTCCTCATACATTATGCAGGAATCGCGCTCTCGCGTGGTACTTCCTCACGGTGCACTGCGGCGCCATGCCCCCAAGACTCACGAATCACCCCTTCGCTTTGGGCTTCCTCACGACTTTACTTGGGAATCGCGCTATCGCTCGAAACCTCCTTCGTGATAGCCTGACGGTTCAGCGACCCGCCCGCTCGACCTGGCCGTCTGCGACGGGCCGCCCGACGTGCCCGTCTGGGCCCGCCCGTCCGGCACGCCCGCCTGGCTCTGCCGCTTGCGCTCCTGCTCCGGGCCCTCCACCTGCAGATCTCTCTCGTGCTCCATCCCTCTCCTTCCCCCTCGCCCCTTCACTGCTCCCCTCCTTCCCCTGTTTGAAGGGGCTGCGCCAACGGCACGCGGCAGGCAGGGAAAACCCACAGCAGGGCACGATCGACGACGAAGAGGGCGGGCACCGAGGGTTTGGAATACACGTGTTGGCACGCGGGCAGCTAGGAGCGAACAGTCTTAAAATGATCGTTGGTGTTGTTGCTGATGTGGTTTTTGTTGTTGTTGTTGTTGTTGTTGTTGTTGTTGTTGTAATTGTTGTTGTTGTTGTCATCCTCGCCCGCGACCCGCCCCGCGACCCGCCCCGCGACCCTCCCCGCGACCACCTCGCGACACGCCCAGACTGCTTTGACTGAAAGATCGGCTCCTGCGGCGGGCTCGCTGAACACTGTGAAAAATCGGCGCCTGCGGCGGGTTTCTTCACAGCCTCTCAGAACGCCCCCGCCGCAGCCCTCGCTTTTGTCCGCCACGGAAGGGGGCCACGTGTCCTCCCCGTCCCCCTCCTGCCGCAGACGAACCAGATGCAAGGGCACGGTCCCATAGCAAGCTCCTACTACAGTCAAAACGTATATTAAGGACGCATGGTAAGGACGCGAGACCCTTGGAGGCTGAAGTTGGGATCTTCTGGGCGGCGGCGACCAGTGAAAACGGCAAAGGACGGGCCACAGAGGCGAGGACGCAAGGGTATCCTAGATGAAGGCGCGCGTCTTTACTAGGCGCGTTGACTGCACTGCGCCAGCCAGGCCAACCTGGACAATCGAGCAGCCAGCGCGACCGACCCCTGATACAGGGCAGTTTTTAATACATTTGATGTTTTAAACATATGTTATCTTTAATGCATGATTACTTTAGGAATAGATTTATGCATGAACTCATCGTTGTTTTAAATACCAAAGCCCTGCGTTTTTTCAATACACGATCCGCACGCGGAGCATGTATTCAAGACGGCCCTGTAGAGTGTGGTGCGGTGCGCCGAAATCGTCCGCAAAGGCGCGTGCCCCGCGCAGCGCCCCTCGGCTGGGAGCCCCCTTCACGCACGACCTCCGCGTCGGGCCCAAACCTGGGAGTGGCACCGACAAAGGGGGAGGGTGGAGGCGTTGGCGAGGGCGATCATCGAGGATCAAAGAACCCCTAACCCCAATAACATACTGAGGAGGTCCCCGTCTCCGCGTTAGGGGTGATGCTTCTGGGCGGTTTGGCCTGGTACATCAGCAGAGAAGACCTCCTGTCCCTGATGTTTTTGGCCCTCCTAACTTAGGTACCCTCCCCAAGGGGTAGGGGTTCTTCAGGGCAGTTTCAATACATCGTTTTTTATTATTAGTACATATATGGGATTTGTAATACATGATTGATGTATTAATGAACTTATGCATGAACCCATCGTTGTTCTGAATGCCAAACTCCTGCATGTTTAATACATGACCCGCACGCGGAGCATGTATTGAAAACGGCACTGCAGAGACGTGTGCAGACCAGCTCGCCATGGGTTTCGCTCCTGGCGCGCACCTCTCGAGCAACCTGTCGGCGAAACGGCGGGCGCACAGCTCTCTGCGAGTGTACCCGAGGAGTGGGAACTGGTGGGCCCTGTGGTGCAGAGTCCCTCTCTCCTCGCACACCTGGCACTATCGCCAGGCCATCTCCTGTGTGCATGCAGTTTGACCTTGGTCCCAAAAGAGCATCCGACGAGGCTTCGAAGTATGGCCTTGCGGTGCTGGCTCCAGGTCTCGGCGGTCGCTTTGCTGGGCAACCACGCATGGTGACTCTAGTGCGACTGACTAGCCCAGGCATCTGTCACTTGCCTGTGACTCATGATCTTCGAAGCAGCAGACGCTGCTTCTCGCGCAAGATCGCACATAACACGTACACTGATCCCAAGGGACGTGTATACATGCCCAACCAGACATGTCAAACGCAAAAGCCGAAGTCATCGAGACCCCGATCCTTGCGAGGAGCAGGAGAAGGAGAAGGAGAAGGAGGAGGAGGACGAGGAAAGGAGGAGGAGGAGGACGGCAAAGGCGACGGGCCTCTGCGCCGCAAGCCTC